CGGGCCCGGTAGTTGACTTTTGTTGACTTTTTCAATAATGATCTAATTGAACCTTTTTCATTGGTGGGTAGTTCCTAATGCTTATTTTGGATCATTTGGTTGATAATTTGCTAGATATGGTTGGCTCGGAGACTTGTTCGAAAGGCAAAGTCGTGGTTGAGCTTTGAGTTGATTTTTTGAGCGAGGTAAGTGTTGAGTTTAACCTTGATTCGAGGGAACTAGGAACCCTCGGACTATGTGCTATGTGAATTTCATGTGTTGCGGCGTATATGCGTGGTGACGAGTGCTTATACGCCGCCAAATTAATTGTTTCCTTGATTTTCCGCTTTTTCTTAATATTTCTTTCCACGTCTTTACTGTTGTGTGCTTTAAATTCCTTCCATGATTTATTTTCTACTTGTTAATCATTGTTCCTCGTGTTAAAAATATTAGACATTTTCATACTTTCATGACTCGATGCTATTTGCCTTAATTGACTTACTTGCACCTTTTAATTGTCATTTACTAGACTTGTCTTGCCGTGCAATATTACATATGTAAATTCCCAAGTTGGTACGAGGTTTCCTTTCTAATTCCGCTTCATATGCATCAATTGTAGAGATTCTTGTGATTTGAGTTATTGATTTGTTTGTGCTCATTGAATATTTGGTACTGATATGGTAGGATCGAGTTGCACGCTGCAACAGGTGAAATAAGGGTGGATTGACATGGTGAAATAAGGGTAAATTTGTACTTATATGGTAGGATCAGCTTTCACGCCGCAACAGGTGGAATAAGGGTGAATTGTGATACTGATTTGGTTATATGGTGGGATCGGGTTGCGTGCCGCAACATATATTTATTTATGATTATTGATATTATTACGGTGGAATAAGGGAGGACTGTATTGTACGTTAGGATCGGGTTGCACGCCGCAACAATCTATGTGTTTCTATTTCCTTGAGCTGCGTTAGTTTTCGGTATTTGCCATATGAAATTCTAAGGATCGGTAAGTCTGATTCGTTACTGGTTTTTCTTCGAGGATTTAGCTATTATCTTCAGTTAACTGCTTTATTTTGTTCTGTATTTTCCTTTCTGTTTTTATTTTATACTGCGTACAGGTTGTAGTGTAAGTGACCTGCCTTAGCCTCGTCACTACTTCGTCGAGGTTAGGCTCGGCACTTACAGAGTACATGGGGTCAGTTGTACTCATACTACACTCTGCACTTCTTGTGCAGATTTTGGAGTCGGTCCAACCGGCGGTTATTAGCGTGCTCGGGTTGGCTAGTGTTGGTTCCCCAAGTACACGCAAGTATACGTGGCCGTCAAGTAATAAAGTGACTCGAAAGTGGATGTAGAACCCACAGAGACTTAGATCAACCGTTAACTAAGCAAGCTAAAATCAATTAACTGTCCAAGATAATCGAGGGTAATGTTTTTCTATTGAACTACTATTGCGGAAATTAAACAAGTAACAACTAAGTTATCAAGAATGCAAATGTGTATGATGAGATTTTAATTCAGAGGAGATGAAGATTCCGGAGTTGTAGTTGGTTTATCAATCCTATTAAGCTCAATAATCACACTTATTATTCTAGATTATCTATGGTTGCTAATTAACCGGATCGCATGTTCCCACAATACTACTCACCTGTCCACAATATATCAATCATATATTCCTATGGTATTGTCTATCATGAACGTATATAATACGGTATTTAACTAAGCAAGACCGTTAGGTATATTCCTATCCTAAGCGCGAAATTTTTTCCCGAGCCACGGATTCAGAAACAAGCTCTTTTTAATTCTACTCTAATCTAAACACGGCTTTCCTAAGCATAGCATAGATAGTACGGTGAATTGGTAGCTACAACAATTCACAATTTAAAACTAGAATTACAGAAACAACCACAAGATGATAATCCGTATTAACGAAGATGTAACTAATAAATGTTAATAATCATGTCAACCACAACCCTAGAAACTAGAGTGCTTAGCCACTCATGTTCGTAGTAACAATTTTCCAAGTATTTTGCATAAACAAATTACAAAGAAAAGATGAAGGAATAAAGAACTCGATGATTTTCTCCTCCAAAGAATGTTCCTAACGTCTTCTCTCCTTCCATAATAGTCTCCTTAGGTCTAAGGTGTGTCAAAATTCCTCCAAATAATATTTTTATATATATTTATACTAAGTAGGATCGGGCCTAGACGAAAACACATTTCCATGCGCGAAATAGGATTCCAGTTGTGTAAAAATTGCACAGGCGCGCCACATGGGGTGACGCGCCATGCGGGGCAGTAGTGAGGATCTTCAAAGACCTTGCAAATTCACAACAACATCAATTTACACAGTCGCGGCGCGCCACGCGCCGCCCCACACGCCGCGGTAGTGTGTTTTTCTTAGAGTACAGATTTTTCTTAACTTTTTGATATCCAGACGTGGTTCTCGACCCCCCGAACGTGATCCCGGCTTAATCCCTTGGTCTTTTACTCATACTTCAAAGCTCCAAATAGCTCGAATTCGTTCCATAACATCTACATAGCTCGGAATCACTCCTACAAGGCATAAAACACGCAATTAGTACAAAACACTAGCGATTAAAGCTCAAACTCAATTAAAGTGTAGTAAATAAGAGTGTGATAAACGACTAAAATATGTAATTATAGCCTACCATCAGCTAGCTTGCGGAGACTTGAGGTACAGTTGCTCAGCGTCCGCAGCTCCTAAAGTCCCCTTTCCTTTTTATTAGCTGTGTATTTTCCCTCAGCAGCTTTATGTTTTATTCAGACCTATAGTTGTACTATTCTAGTAGCTCGTGCACTTGTGACACCGGGTCCAGGTTTGTATCAGATATTTTTGTTGCTATGGCTTCCGCACTTTACTTTAGATTATCACAGTTACTTCAGTTTCTTCCTTATCATTTAATTTGAACTGTTGAAAATGGACAAATTGTTCTAACGATGGCTTACCTAGCAAGTGAAATGTTAGGCGCCATCACGGTCCCAAATGTGGGAATTCCGGGTCGTGACATTCACGTAGGGTTCGAGGAAGGGCAACACCTTAAGGGAGTGCGATATAGGTAGCCTACTCTCATACAAGCATCAGTGACTGATTCTACGGCTCGAACGTGTGATATCTAGATCACACAGAGATAACTTTACAGATGTTCTAAAACTCCCCTTCAAATAACTATTAAAAGGAATCAAATATATATTAGCGAAGCTAAAAGATTAAATTTTAACATATATGAATTTTTTGAACAGGTTAAAACATTTTCCAAAAATTTGATGAAGTCGTCCGAATCAATTGTCCCTATATTTCTCTTACCTATTAATTTAAGGATAGCAATTTCCCTTACCTTTTAATTTACTACAAGTTGACAACAAGAGCAATTAATAACAAACAAATAAATAAATAAATAAATAGATAAGTAAATGACAACGTGCACCCAGAAAGTAAAAGTTGTCGTATTAATTGTATATTATAAGATACTTCAATGGATATTTTAAAACGACTACATTATAGGTAGACCTCATTGAATTTTATAATCGAATTAAATTAATTTTTAAAAGTGACTATGTTTCTATCTAATGAAAGAAGATCTATCTGTATTTAGAGGGTTGACTAACTATGAACGCACATCTGTATGGACGGTTGGCTATGTAGTCATCTGAAAAACATAAAGCTAACAGTTACCGGCAGAGTCATGATTTGAAATTTATAGGTTCTGAATTTGCCAACAATTTATAACTTGTCTTACAGTTGCTTGGATGGTTGTTACCCATTGTATTATGTCGTATTATTACTTTAAATATGATGTTTGTTTTTATTGTTACTTAAATTTTATCGTATCGCATCGTTCAATCCGTCGTAACGTAATGACGAAATGCGTCACTTTATGTAACAACCGATTTGGTGTGTTACATCGTTACCTTGTCTTTTTCTCTCATCTTGCACCCTTCATTATTAGTATTAAATAATTTTATTTTATCATTTACCCTACCTTTTTATATAATAATTTTACCCCGTATCATAATTTTTCTTTATAATATCGCAAGTTTATTCTTTATATTGCTGGTGAATGATATCATGAAACAACGGCAAATGATACATTCTGTCCAAATATTGTATTCATCAAACGACACAGTACAGTATAAATACAATACAATACGATACATTATATGTAATACCATCTAAATAAGTTGTTAGTTACCGAGTTCGTAATTAGATATTTACCATATTTAATGTATTTACTAATATAAATACAAGATCTAAGCAAGAGTTATTAAGTTCAATAATGCTCCTTAATATTGCACCTTTTCTCCTTTCTTTTCTTCAAAGATATTTTGGTTATTCGAGTAGGAATAGATTCGTAGATAATTGAGGAGATATAAAAGAATGGAATATTCCCATGATATTGAAACCTGCACCAGAGAGTGGCAGACAACACCAAAATTGCTTTAGTCTTAGTAGGAGTTTGGACTTAAGAATTGTAAATTTCAAAACTGTAAAAAATAAAATTTAAGTGAAAATGGTATTTGAAAATTAGAGTTGTATTTGGACATGAATATAAATTTGGGTTGTTTTTTAAGCTTTGTGAGTGAAAATTTTAAAAAACAGTTTTTTGGAGTTTTTCAATTTTCGAAAATTTCTAAAATGCATCTTCAAGTGAAAATGGTATTTGAAATTTAGAGTTGTGTTAGGACATGAATATAAATTTGGGTTGTTTTTGAAGCTTTGTGAGTGAAAATTTTAAAAAATAGTTTTTTGGAGTTTTTCAATTTTCGAAAATTTCTAAAATGCATCTTCAAGTGAAAATTGAAAATTTTATGAACATAACGCTGATTTCGAAAAAAGTAAAATTTTAAAAAAAAAAAAAGGAAAAATTTCTTCTGTCCAAACTTACTTTCTTGTGATTTTCCCTTTCCCTATTTAGGCTGATTGAACCCAACAATATGCTTTAGTTAGTTGACTATTAATCAAAAGAACCAAAGAAAGAAAAAAGAAAAAGAAACCATCCAATAATAATTGTTGACAGATAGGAATATGAACATTAACCATTGGTATTTCCAGGAAAAAGTCCTTAAGAATGACAAAAAGTACTCCAAATAGCCAAAAACCTACTTCTCCATCATGAAACAATCAAAAAAATTGTTGAAAACAAACAGAAAATTCAAAATTGACCATTAAAAAGGGCAGCTCGGTGCACTAAGCTCTCGTTATACGCGTATCCGGGGGAATTGCGGATCACAAGAGTTTATTGTACGCAGCTTTACACTGCATTTCTGCAAGAGACTGTTTTCGCGGCTTGAATCCGTGATCTCCTGGTCATATGACAGCAACTTTACCAATTACGCCAAGGCTCCCCTTTTCAAAATTGACCATTGTTACCAGCAAAAAACAAGTCCATTACAACAGGAAAATCAAAGTAAAAATGACAAAACAAATAATGTAAGTCCAAAAACCCCAAAACCATAACTCATTCTTTGTGCACCAGATCTACCTGTATCATCAACTTCAATCTTATTTTCCACAAAATAATTATGTCTCTTAGTATACCAAAATGTAATCTTGTACCTTATTCTGCTACTCACATCGACTCGAAAAATCGCCTTAGATCCATTTGTAACAGCTTTAAGTGCAGCATTCCATGGCATATTATGAGTTTCAATCATCCCACTTTTAAATAGTTCTTTATCTTTCCCTTGTTTAAATCCATCAACTGTAAAATTACCAATAGGGTAACTTGTATTTGTACCATAGTAAAACTTAAGTGTAATATCATCGTAACGAACAGCTTTGTCCTTCATTTCATTCTTCAGATTGAGTTGAAATGATAGATTGTTGTTGCGTCTTGTCGCGTTGTTGTTGTTGTTGGAGTTGACTGATTTGTCAAGACCTGGCACGTAAAAATCATTGATGGAACATTTAGGTTTCGTGGTACGAAAACTTAACCAGAGAACCAGAGCTACAATGCCTAAACTCACTATTAATTTCACACAATGACAAACACATGAGTCTGACGACATGTTTTGAAGTCAGAGACGAATTCAAAATTTAAACTCGTCGCACGATTTTCCTTCCGGCCAATTGGTAGTGGTGGAGAAATGCTACTGTTGTTTCTCAAGAATTAAAAAAAAAATGGGAAAAAATAGATGAAAAAGAGATTGGAAATGAGAGAATGGAGGAGGATGTGAACAATTTTTTTTTTTTGTTGAGAATTGTGTATTTTTGGGGTTTAGTAGATGGTTTTTTAAAGACAAAGGTTCTTAACAAGTCATGGGTTTTTATGCTTATTTAAAGAAGACTTGGGTCAATGACTAGCTCTTAGAATTTGGGCCTTATATGTTAGATATTTTCTACTTTGCCCTTAACGAGTTAGATAGTGGTTGCAGTGAAATTTCGTGGAACAATTCAACAATGAACGGCCCGTTTGGCCATGAGTTTTGCCAAAATAAATTTGAAATTTAATTTCAAAACTCATGTTTGGCCATAAATTTTGCTCATATTTTGGCCAAATCCCAAATCTCAAATTTCAAATCCCAAAATCAGCTATTGAACTCATTTTGGGCTAAAATCCCAAAACTTGGGAATTATATACATGTTTTTCCAAAATAAAGATGGAAAATATGTTTTGAAAACGTAGGTCCAAACACATTTTCATCTTCAAACCAAACTTCACCCAAATCAGATTTTCAAAATAAATTTGGGATCTATGGCCAAACGCTAGCGAAGTAGTTTCCATATCTAAAAATGAAAAAGACACCATCAAAGGATGTGGTGCAGCGAACGGGGCTACTCTTTCCTTAACTAGAGGCCTCGGGTTCGAGCCATAGGTATAAAAAAATCTTTGGTAGGGAGCGCTTCCCCTCGAATGGGACCCTACGCAACGCGAATCGGAATATAGTCGGGCTCCAATGCGAATATCGAATACCGGATGAGAAAAAAAAAAGACAATACAAAAGTAGGTCTTCATAATAAAAACTCCAAACACACATGTGCTCAAAAAAAAACTTAACCAAATTAAAGATTTAGACGGTTATATGATTTGGAAGTAAGCGCAGAATGTTTAATTTTTTCGTGCACACAAGACAATAAAAATTTCTGCATGATGTGTGAAAAAGAAACTAATTAAAGAGGGGAAAAAACAAGAGATCTAGAATACAAAGACAAAATAAGTATTTAAACTTGATCTGTACAAGGTTCTTAGTTCTTTAGAATTATGCATTCATAATTTAAAATTTACAACTAATAGTTTTGGAAAATTTTCATGTATATATTTATGATGAATCTCTCGCTATCCATCAGGAACCAAGGGGTAAAGCCATACTTCGCAAGTGATTAGCTGATTGTAAATAGCTGATAAGCTTAAAGTGTTGAAAAATAGTTTTAAATACTGAAACTGATTTTTAAAATAAGCATTTACGTGTTTGGATAGACGTGTTGAAACTGATAATAAGCAGTCAACGTGTTTGATAGAAAAGTGCTGATAAGTTGTTCTTTTATTAAAATAACTAAAATATCCTTAAGAACTTTACAAAATATTATAAATTAAAAAGTTTCTTTATAAAGAAAAAGATGAACAACGAATATGGAATGAAAAGAACGTTAGAAAATTTATTTTGGGAAAAATATTTTATGAATTAGAAAATATTATTAAAGATAAACTAGTAAAAGTTTTGGTCAAACTAAAAATACTTATAAGCTAAAACCTAAGTTGGAGACGACTAATTTATGATTTACAATTAATTTTAGCTTGAGATATATACTACAAACATAAATAAATCAAAAGGTGCTTATAAGTCAATTTGATACGCTTATAAGCTTAACAAAACACCCTCTAACATATATTCACATGTTCTATAGGTCCTCTCCTTGCCTAGAATTCGTGTTGTGAGGAAAGAGATAGGAATAACAAGTCAGTGAATTGTTCCACGAAAAGGAAAATACAAGACTACTTGACCCCAACATGTCTTTTTAACAATAAAGCAGAAAACACCAAGACTTTTTTGAGAATCCAGGTCTTTAAAATATTAAATCAGATAGTAAACCCAAGAATGCATTTATCAAGAATTAATATTGTTAAACCACCGCCTCTCTAGTTTCATTTTCATCTTTTTCTCTGTTTACCTCGAAAATATGAGTAACAATTAAATTTGATTTGTAGTTTTAAAGATATGTTTCAATACCAATTGATAATCAAAAAATATAAAGTAGAAATGAAAGAGACAAGGGAATCAAACCAATGTTATTTGACAGTAGTGACCTCGAGATGGTGACCTCGAGACGGGCTAAGAGCAATAAAGTAAGAAAAGTAAAGCAAAAGCAGTAGAGCTAAAGGACAATGCTGATGAACAGTAGGCAAAAAGTAGAGAGTATATTCTTTTCTCAGTGATTATGTGTTGTTACAAATGATTGGGGTCCCCTTTATATAATAGGGAATCCCTAAATAAGGAATATTTCTATTTACAATAAGGAATATTCTTGATACAGCTGTCTAACCGCCTAGTACGGAATCGTACAATCCTATTCCGAGATTTGCGTCATGATCATGGGAACGTGGCAGAAGTCTAGCTCATTCTGTTACAAATTCATAACGGTACTATTTCAGGGTCGAGCATACTTGGGCCTGGTATTCCTCGTACTCCTATCTCCGGGCATCGCACTCTGTCTTCGAGCTTGATTCTGGTCTACCGGTCTCGAACTCGAGATCGCCCGAACTCGGGCCTATGGCGGACCCTCGAGCCTGTAATTGGAGGCATATGATTTTGACTGTATACAGATAGTCCCTGCATTTCTTAGAATAAGATGATAAGAAACGATTTGAACCTCGATTTACGGAGTACATCATGATGATGTCATCCCTGTGATGCAGGCGCTCGAAGTGACTGAAATGTCCCGTCGGTTCGCTTCCCTAAAATATTAAATGCATGCCAGTACTGGTCGGCCACTAGCGCCGCCGAACCGTCGTTGCCCTTCTATAAATATGAGGCTATTCCTTTGAATAAAGAACTTTACTCTTTCATTACACTTTCCCTTCTTCATCTCTTTCTCTAATAACCTGTTTCCACCGCCTCTTTAAGTGCCGGAAAACGCCCGATTTTTGTAAAAACACCACATTCTGATACAACCTGTATTCTTTAGCTTAAAATCACGGCTAAAACTTCCAAAACGGTCCCCAAAAAAGATAAAGCGTTGTCTTCTTCTACCTCCCAGCCGGCCAAACCGGTGGCGCCGCCGACTCTTGAAGAAATCAACCCCGGCTCTTGCGTGATTAAGAAGGACTTTAGTATTGAAAATCCCCCGATGCCCCAGGCCAATGCGAGCATGTATCTCGATATCCTAGTTTGATATCAGAGAAGCACCTCAAAGATGTGAAGAAGGACTGTGGTTGGGGAGACGACATCATGGTTCAGATCCCGAACCCCGAGGAAAGTATTACCACCCACGTGGAGGGGTTTTTAAGTGTTTACACTTACTCCTTCACACTGGGTCCCCTCGATCTGATGGTGATCGATTTCTGCAAAACATATGAAGTCACCCTCGGTTAGATTCAGCCCTCTTTTTGGCACATCGTGATCATACTATGCTACTTTTCCCAAAAGGCCGAGGGGTTGGAATTCACCCTCAACCACCTTATTCGATTGTATCGGCCCCAGGTGTTTCGAGGGCTTATCAAGTTGCAACGTTGCACGAAGAAAGCCTTTTTTGCCAGTAATGAAGAAGCCAAGGATCGGGGCTGGATGAGCCGGTTCGTCAGGGTAAGGACCTCGGATGTCATGCCCAGGGATAAAATGCCATTCCCGGAGAGATGGAACTTTAACCCTAAGTGGAGTTCTTCTTCCCAATATCTACTCATTTTCAGTTTTTACGCCTCATAATGCCTTTACTCTTTCCTCAGCCACTTCCTGGGCGCCTCACACAGTCTCTGACCTCGAGGAATGGGTCCAAAAGTTAGCTTCAACCTCCTTCTATGATGACCGTAAATGGCGTGAATTATCGAGGGGCAAGTGGGAGGCCAAACATCATGGTAAATTTTCTTCCCAAGTTTCTGATACTTATTATATATTGGCGGCGGCGACTCATTCATATTTACTTGTGCAGGCATCGGAGATGTCTCCGAAATGAGGCCAGCCCTACCTGGGGAAGGGACCAAACCTTCGATTCCGAAACCGGGGAAGGACAACAAAAAGAAGAGGGTTTCGAAGCCTGAAGACCCTCAAGACAAGAAAACCCCTGCTCGGAGGCTACGGAAGAGATTTGCTCAAGTGGATGCAGATTCGGTCCAGGATTCCCCAGATGATGAAGAAAATGATGGTGGAGAGTCGGCGTTGGTGCCTCGAACCAGAAGACCAATCAAGGATTCCAAACCCTCCGAACTAGAGACCTCATCCCATGGTGAGGGAACCTCAAAGAAAGATTCGGGCAAGGCCCCCGTGTTCCCGGAGGTTGAGATCGTTCCTCCGCCTTCAACAAATATACCGGAAGGGGCGAGTGCAAAAACTCTCGAAGTTAATCAGAACGCCCCGAGTGAAGATCTCGGGGCCATGACAACAGGTCGCGCCGTTTCTCTGCCATCTTATTCCGAGGAGGCAATTGGATGCTAGCGCTCTACGTACGCCCGATCCGAGCAAGATCCTCGAGGAAGATCCCTTCCAGGGTTGCTTTGCTGGGGTCGAGGATACCACCGACCTTAATGATGCATCTGCCATCTTCGAAAAGGCTCAACATCTCCTTCTTCAAGTATATATTAACTTACATTGCTGTAATTTTTCTTTCTTTCCTTTCCTTTGACTGACATATCTTCACTTTATGTATAGGCCATCATCAAGTTCAGGGCCGAGCTGAGCCAATGTGAGGCCGAGCTTAGGAATGTTTCGGGCGAATAGAAGGCCCTGAGGCTCCTTTGTAACCAAAAGGAAGAAGAGCTTAGGGACCTCCGGGCTGAATTTGCCAAAGCTCAGAAAAATGAGGCCGAGCTAGATGAGCAGGTAACTATGATATTAACAGGTTACGGTCTTCTTAGACCTACTTCGGAGGCTAACACTTCGATATCTCAACTGCAGCAAAAGTTGGAGATGATTGGGCGGCTCCGGGGCGAGGTTGATCAAGTTAAAGTCGATTGTCATAGGTGGAGGAAGAACATGGATTAGCTCATTGCTGATAAGGAAGCTGTTACAGTTCAACTAACCTCGGATGAAACTCAACTCCGAGGTATTAAAGCGAAGGGTCTGGTTCCAGGCCAAGAAAATCGAGGAGTTAGA